CCAGGTCCGGGACTCAAACCGTGGTCGACCACATGGGAGTCCAGTGATATAGCCATTACACCAACTGGTCCCTGTTTTATATATTTAAAAAAAAAAAAAAGATTTTTTTGCCCCCTTATTGGGCGAAACTGCCCTGTTGAGAATGCATGTCATAAACTGAAGTCTCCCCCAGTTATAAGCCCACAGAAAGTATCTTATCTGTGCTCACCAACATGGGCACTTTCACTTCCTTAAAGAGCATGCTTTGCTACTGTCCCTCAACAGGCGCTGCAGAGGACTCCATGCTTCCCAGCCTGTCTACACCTCCAAAGGAGCAGAAGCCTTGAGGAGCCCTAGGCCCCAGGTTCCCTGCAGACTTTACCCCACAGACCAGGCTGTGCACCTCCCAGAAAGGAGACACATGTCCTCGTCCTCTCATACCTACTGTGTCTCCAGGCCTCAGACAGCATGTGTACCTCCCCCTTGTGTCAGAGAGATCTCATGCAAATGAGATTGGGCAGCTGAGGTGGGGCTGAGTACAATGCCACCCAGTCTCTCCACCTCTGTCTCTGCTCCCAGGACTCCCCGGATATGCTCCTTGGAGGGCCCTTTTACCAACTGCTGATCAGCAACCACAGCCAAATCCCAGCTTAGCCTCAGCTGGTCTTCACCACGCAATGGAAAGCGTTTGTAACAGGCTCAGTTACATCACCTTATCGTTCTTCCAGTGCTCCAGTCTATAGAAGAGAAATCTGAGATACGGAGGGGTTTGCTTCGGAAGGAAGGTCACAGAGTGAGTGGCTCCAAGGCCTTTTTTTTTTTCTGCACCAAAAGAGCAAGGAACGTCACCAGCAGTGCCTACATGTGAAGGAGCTGAGGCAACTCCCCTGACCTATCTGGCACAGTGAGGCCTACTCAGAGTGTGGCCTGCACATCAGCACCCAGCACCCAGCCGCAGATTGTTGGCTCCAATCTGGAGTGAGACAAGTGCAGGACTCCAGCGTTTGGAAATGCTTGTAGCAGGACCAGCAGGTGGTGTGGTAGTTAAGGCCCTGGACTCCATGGCGTACTGCAGTTCGAGTCCTGGATCCAGTGGCTTGAAAATCACATTGGGGAAACCAGCAGTTAGTGTAATGGCTATGTCCCTGGACTCCCATGTAGTCGACCGCGGTTCACGTCCCGGACCCGGTGGCTTAGAACTCACACCGGGCGCGTGTGCGTGCATGCCCAAGATCCTGAGAGGAGAATGGAGGAGGAGGGCTTGCTGACTCAGCTTCCTCCCTGGGGGGTGATTTCTCGCTTTCTGTCTCTACGTCTCTCTCTGTCTGTCTGGCGAGCGCACGCGCCCTATAGAGAAAATCTCTCCAAAAGAAAAAAAAGAAAATCACATTGGGCATGTGAACGTGTGCGCCCAAAGTCCCAAGGGGAGAGTAGAGGGGAAGGATTGCTGCATGGCCATTCCCCCCACCCTGGGGCGGAGGGAGAATTCTCACTTTCTCTTTGTCTCTCTCCAGTGAGCACACACACCCTGTTGCAAAAAAGTAAAGAAAAGAAAAGAAAGGGGGCAAAATGTTTGCAGCAATTTGATGGAGTGATGTTATGCCTATTACTAATTAAAAAATCTGGACTCATATATTGTACTGTTTTGCATTTCGTTTTTCTAATTTCATTGTCATTGTATCTTATAAAAGTGTCGATCTGCGACACATTGGAAATTCAAAAGGGAAAAGCTGTTCCTTCACCAGTAACCCTTCGAAAACCATGGTACAGAGGTGGTAGCCTTCCACTTTCCGCACAGAGCATGGAAGGTCTTTGACCTCAGGATTAAGAAAAAGGAAAATAACGTGTAATTGTTTGACTGAACGGGTGGTCAGAGCACAAAGGTCTCTCTTTTAACCCTAGGCAGACGCAGCCTCAAGGTCATCGAGGCCTGATTCCCGGTTGGCTTCTTGACTGACTGCCCTGTGGCGGGGAGGAACGGTTCACTGAGCCCGCGGCTCCGTGTGCCTTTCACCTGGAGGCTTGTCTGACCATACCTTGGACAGAGCAGTTGGGAAACTTAAAGATCATCCTCCTTGCCGTAGTACAGGTGGGGAATCTCCTGTGCCTTAGTGTCCTGGTCATAGAGTACTCACTGGGGTTCCATCAGAGAGGGAGAACCTCTGGGAAATGTAGAGAGGAAAGGGTTTATCACAGGGACAGATCTCTTCTGCTGCTGAGAGCTGAATTATTCTGTGTAAGAGGTTCTCGTTGTGTCTCTGGGCTGGCTAGGGAGGGAAGATGGAAGAGGAGTGCGGAAAACGAAGGACAGATGAGGACGGATCTGATCTCACTGCCTGCATCTCAACGATGCAAGTGACCTGAAGAACAAGAGGAGCAGTGCGCATCTGGCCCAGAAGCTGGATGACCTGCAGGCCCAGTTGCTCCTCCAGGCCAGCAAGGTAAGACAGCAGCCCTGCCATGATGCAGGCGTGGAACCTGCACTCTCCCTACACAATCTGTAGAGCCTAACAAGACATCTGCTCTTCACTTCTTTTATTAAGTTTTCTTGTTTGTTTTCGTTTGTTTTGCTATAGGGTGTGTGTGTGCTCACCAGAGAGTGACAGAGAGAGGAAAAGTGAGAAATCACCCCCAAAGGGGATGCCCATGCTGCAATCCCTTCTCCTCCATTTTCCTCTTGGGATTTTAGGAACACACGCACATAAGCCTGGTGTGATTTTTCAGGCCACTGGGTCCAGGATTTCAACTGTGCAGTCAGCCATGTGAGATCCAGTACTTTAACCTCCATGCCTCCTGCTGGCCTCTTGCCCCTCACTTCTACCTTCCAAATCTTAGACACATTTCTATGGTGCCAGCCTCTCCCCAAAGCTTTCTCTGGAGTTGAAATCCACAAATGTTTAATCAGCATCCAGCACGTGCCCTGCACCAAGGGGGCAGTGCTGGGGCCGTCTCAGCCTCTTCCCACAGGTGGCTGGGATTCGAACTGCCATGTGGGATCTGACTCCTTGACCATCAAGCCACGGGATCAGCCCAATTCCATTTGTCTGCAAATGTTCTGAAATCTTGCATTACATGCTTTGGGAACCAAAAGAAGGGAACTTCTGACTTTACCACCGTGGAGGCAATTCACCAACTGAATCTTAAGGAAAAGGAGGAATTGCCAGGAGACAGGGCGGGAAAGCATACTCTAGCCAGGAGATGAGCACAGACCAAGAGCCAGGAGGACTGGGAGGTCTTGGCCATGCTTGAGAAATGATGAGCAATTCCGCATGGCTGAAGGGTAGGATGACGGGAGATAAGGAAAGAGCCAGGAAGGTGAGGGAGGTGCCAGAACACGACGAGTCTTCAATGTCGGGTGCAGAACTCTGGGCAAGAAGGGGAGAATGACTGGTCTAGGGCAGTGCCTTGGAAGGGAGAGACGAGGGACACCAGAGACAGCTAGGAGGTGGAGTTGGCTTAGCAGTCCCGTGGGGTCGCTCTGAGGGAGTGAGAGGATGCAGGCTTGGACTAGGGGCTTAGGGCAATGGCAGAAATGAACGAGGGCCTGTGTCAGGGCCTGGAGCAGTAGGGGAGAGGAAGTGAGCCGAGCAGCCTCCTTTGCTAGGGGCGGGTGGCGGGGGGGCCCTTAGCATTTGCCAGTCTGTCAGTACCAGTCCAGACATGATTCTTAGATGACTCAGAGACCTGGCAGGCGACTCCTCCCAGCAGCCAGCACCAGGGGTCAGCTGGTCCCTGAGCACGCCCACTGCCTTGGCCACCTGGAAACTTGAAGCGATCTCTTGCCCTAGGAGAAAGCAGAACCACAGATGAACGGGGATTTAGAGATTATCCACTCAAAACCACTTCCTTTATTTTTTATTTATTTTTTTTTTGGAGAGGGTTTTTTTTTTGTTTTTTTTTTTGCTATAGGGCGCATGCGCTCTCCGGAAAGACAGACAGAAACAGAGAGACAGAAAGTGAGAAATCACCCCCCAGGGGGGATGGTCACGCCGCAATCCCTTCTCCTCTATTCTCCTCTCGGGATCTTGGGCACGCACGCACACACACCTGGCATGAGTTTAAGCCACCGGGTCCAGGACTCGAACTGTGGTTGACTACATGTGAGTATAGAGGCATAGCTATTATGCTAATTGCTGGTCACAAAACTACTTCCTTTTTAAGAATGGAAAGAGCCACGAGCAGCCAAGTGAGAACAGTGAAGTTGGGCCTGTGGTGCCCCCGTTTGGTGTCCTCTTTACTCCATCTGGTTGTTCTGGCTTCGCTTGGCCTCAGATCAATGGCCCAGGATATTAAATGGTGGTGCTAGGGCAGGGCACAGTCCCCCTGGAGGTAGGACCCAAAGGCAAGGGGCAGGTCATCCAAGGTCTGACAAGCCTTCCTTTGTAAAATTGTGGTGGTTAGTGACTGCTGCATTTTAGTAATACTTTTATATATTTCACCCAGGATTTTTTTTTTTTTTTCAGTGGGAAGGTGGATGGGTCAATGTCTAGACTATCCTAGTCTTAGAAACAGGAACCCTTTCAGATTTCCTAACTGCTGGGTGACCTTGAACGAGCTGATCTCCTCTCTGTACCTTTCCTTGTCTTAAAAGTAAGACCAGATAGGGGCGAGCACATGGCATGGAGGTTGAGGCACTGGTCTCCCACATGGCTGACTACAGTTCCTGGATTTGGCTGCTTGAAAATCATACCAGGTGCATGTGTGTGCATGCCCAAAATCCCAAGAGAAGAGATTGCAACTGTAGCCATCCCCCTAGGGTGGGTGACATCTCCCTTTCCTTCTCTCTGTCTCTGTCTTGTGAGAGAGAGACATGCCCAATGGCAAAAAGCATTTAAGAAAAAAAAAACGGAAGATCAGATAACGACCCCTCTAAGTTACAGCACTCCTGGGACACTGTTGATGTTGGCCCGTGCCTTGGGCTGTGTACCCTACAGGTCTCAGCCCCTGTGCCCTGGCTGTTTTCTTCCTCTTCCCCATCTCTGCTCCAGTGGCTGCTCACAGCTCCATTTTCTTGGTGACACTGCCTCCACCCTCTGCCCCTCTCAACTCTCTCAAAGTCAGTCATGTACCTATTGGACTCAGAGCATCTGTCCCACCTCTGCCCCTCCTGAGCCTCTCAAAGTTAGTCACGTACCTGCTGGACTCAGAGGCCATCTGTTTCACCTAAGTGGCCAAGGTCAGGTTTCCTGGCTCCAAAGTCAGTGCCGTGTTGACAACAGCCCAAACAAATACAAATGGCAAGCCTTAACGCAACATGGCAGACCTCTATACACGCTTGATGCCTCTGCAGCCAAGGAGCTCCAAGTGGCCTCAGAGTCGGGATCGTGGTCATTCCACTGTCTCCACCCTCTGATGTGTCTGGGTCTTCTCCTCTCACCTGTGAATGTCTGCTGAGAGGATGTAGGGTTAGGAGTTCCAGTTTGCTTGAGGAAGGGACTTCTAGTTCCCTAGCAAGCTGGTCTCTAGCCCCAGCCTGGGGCTCACTACAGTTACCGTTCTGCTAGTGCCCTGATAATGCTGTGGTCTGAAGGAAGGGACCTGCTGAGAAGGGCACATTGCTTTCTTCCCATTTTACAGTTGGGGAAATTTAAGCTCCGGGAAGTGAAGTAATTGGGATAATTGGGAGCTGACATTCAGGTTTAATTCCAAAGTACACTCTCTTTCCAAACTAACATTCCTTCAGGCAACTAGGTTAACCCTTAACCCTTTGATGCCATTTTCCCATTTGTAAAATAAAGAGACCTATAGCTATCCTGCTTGCCTCAAAAGGCAGTGGTGACAATCATTTGATATAATGCATAGAAAAGCAGTTTTTCAATTGTTCTACTTGTAGGTAAAATAGCATATATGCATCTATATAGAGCTATGACATCAATGCTTACCTATTATGCTAGCCATGAAGTCAGTTTAGAGTCTTATTTAATCACCTGGTTTGACCAGACATGAAACAGATCTGGAAGCTGGGTGGCTCCAGAGCCAGAACTAGGATTGGTGTTGCTCTTCCAAGGCTCTTTTGCCAAGGTGTGTGTTTAGGAGTCAGCAGAGTTGGGGAGACATGTTACCACTGTTCTTCAGTGGCCCTCATCCCATAAGCTTTCCTTCCCAAGCAGTTTCTGTTTAATCACTAGGCAACAGGGAGCTATCGAAGGTTTGGGGCAGGTGGAGTCACGGTGAGAGCTGGGCTCAGGAAAATGACCTGACAGTAGTTTGTGCAGTCTCGGCTGCGGGGCTGCGGGGCTGCGGGGCTGCGGGGCTGTGGCAGTCTCCGCTAGGGCAGTCACAGAGGTAATGGACTGTGAAAGGCCTTCCAAATGCATCTGGGAAATGGAAAAATGTGTATGGTGAAAAGACTATGTGTAGATGTCAAATTTTTCCACACCAAAATAAAGTTGGAACTTAATTCCATTTTTCCATAAATTTTCTTTAAAAGAATTATTGATTTTATTTTATTTATTATTCTTTTAAAAAATCTGCTATAGGGCATGTGTGCTCACCAGAGAAAGGCCGAGAGAGAGAAGGAAAGTGAGAAAGCAAACTGCCAGGTCTGGGACTTGAACTGTGGTAGTCATATGAGAGTCCAGTGCCTTAGCCGCCATACCACCTGCTGACCCCTCCATAAGTTTTCTGAAGTCCCCTCATAAAAGGGGCAGGATTAAGCACTATTGGAGACAGAACCTGCTGAAGATGGCAGCTATTTTACAAGGGTGGGAGGTGGGAGAGGAAAAGCAAGGGAAATCCTGGAATGGTGATGCCATTAATAGAAATGAAGTTAAGAGAAAAGGTTGGTTTTGGGAGGGGAAGATGACAAATTCAGTGATGTACTAGAAACAGTGAGAGTTAGGCCTGGATAGGCCCAAAGAACACGTGGGGTGAGACCTTTCCCTTGATTCAGGGAGTTATGTTGGGTGTGCGTTGCCAGTGGGCCAGGAGATTAGTGGAAATGAGGCCTGGCTCTGGGAAAGGGATGGTGCCGGAGACAGAGATTCAGCATGAAGTCATTCCAAATGTGGTTCCTGAGGAAGGCCATACTGAGGGAGGGAAAAGGAAGAACAGAAACAAACGGAGGGGACAATAGAGGAGCTGTCCAACAGTAGGAGCAGGATGGTATATGGGCAAACATCAAAGGAGCATGACATTTCAGGATGTCAGCCTGCCGGATGCCTCGCAGAGTCTGAGAAGGGGTGACTGGACTTGGTGGTGGCCTTTCAGAATAAGTTCCAGAAAATTGATGGGAGTAAAGAGGACTGTCTTTAGGGTCTGGGATTTGTTTTCCAGGACTCAATCTACTATCAGCAGGTTGAGAAGCCAGACGTGTTGCCTCCTGAATTGCTTTGTCTTCCTTTGCAAAGACAGAGTAATAATCCCTACCTTATGCTTTGTTGTGAGAAACGAGGTCATGAAGAGGAAAGATGAGAACCATCTATGAGGCCGGATGGTGGTGCAGTGTTAAAATGAGATGCCCGGAACCAGCAGTCGACGGACATAATGGCTATGTCTCTGGACTCCCATGTAGTCAACCGTGCTTCCACTCCCGGACCCGGTGGTTTAAACTCACGCCAGGCATGTGTGCGTGCGTGCCCAAGATCCTGAGAGGAGAATGGAGGAGAAGGGATTGTGGCGTGGCCATATCCCCTGGGGGGTTTCTTGCTTTCTGTCTCTCTGTCTCTCTGTGCCTTTCTGGTGAGAGCATGTGCCCTATAGCAAAATCCTCTCCATAAATAAATAAATAAATAAATAAATAAATAAATAAGCTCTGTGAGACTGACCCATGTGGGGTTGTTATGGGTTTCCCTCTTTAGACCTCCCTGAGTATGCCAGGCACAAGCAGCCCATGATTCAGGGCTGGCTCAGGCTGGGGGTGGATTGTGGTGTCAAGACCCTGTTGGAGCTGCTACTTCTCTGACAGTTTCTCTCTCTCTCTCTCACTCATGTAAGAAATAAACTGGGGGAAAACAAAACAAAACAAAACAAAACAAACCCAAAATACCTTCACCACCACCTGTGGAATGTTCGCTTTGTACCAGACATAGTACAAGTGCTTGTGTCCACTATTTGCAAGTCCTTTACACACCTAAACCCACAGCCCAATGGGCGAGATCATTATCTTCACTGTTAGATAAGTTACTGTTAGAGTTGGACAAGATCGGAATGATAGGATTATGGTTCATTTACAAAATTAGACAACGCATGAACTGGGAAAGGCATGGGTGAGGGCTCGAGAAACAAACAACTTGGAAGATTTTTTTAAAAAGATTAAGGGTTGGGAGAACCAGCGGTTAGCGTAATGGCTATGTCGCTGGACTCCCACGTAGTCGACCGCGGGTCGCGGCCCAGACCCGGTGGCTTAAAACTCACGCCGGGCGCGTGTGCGTGCATGCCCAAGATCCTGAGAGGAGAAGGGAGGAGAAGGGATTGCGGCGTGGCCATCCCCCCGGGGGGGTGATTTCTTGCTTTCTGTCTCTCTGGCGAGTGTACTTGCCCTGTAGCAAAAACCTCTCCAAAAAAAAAAAAAGAAGATTAAGGGTCGGGACCATCAGTTAGCTTAATGGCTATGTTGTGCGTGTGTGCCCAAGATCCCGAGAGGAGAATGGAGGAGAAGGGATTGCGGCGTGGCCATCCCCCCGGGGGGGTGATTTCTTGCTTTCTGTCTCTCTGTCTCTCTCTGTCTGTTTGGTGAGCACATGTGCCCTATGCCAAAAACCTCTCAAAAAAAAAAATTAAAAAGATTAGGGGCAATTTGGTCATATTCACCAGTCCAGGAAAAGAAGAGATGGAAGAGGCCACGGTCTTCTGCTGCCCCTTAGCCTGCCAGATGCTCTGTGTCTGTAGCATATTCCTTCTCGATGCCCATGGGCTGCTAGGTGGCTAGAGGGTGTCTTTCGCTTTCACTCTTCCTCTGATTAACCAATCTCTTTGCTTCCAAGGCTTCTCTTGTGGCCCAGCAGGCATCAGAGACTCCTTGTGAGGGAAAGATGGAAAGCCTCCCTCAGCCATTCAGTAGGGGGTAGTGACATGGGCTCCATCCCTCCAGGCCCCATCCCCCAAAGCCCCTCCCACCGGGCCTAGCCTCTCACCCACTTGGCTGGCTGAAAGGGTCTGGGCTCCAAGCCACCCAGGCTGGTCTCTTTTGTCCCTGATAAAGTGCAATGATGACAGCGAGGTCCTGGCAAGATCCCCAGGAAACTGTGGTCCTTAGTGTTGCTTCGAGGCAGGAGAGGGGACGGTGGTGGAGGAATTCAGCCCGGCAGCAGGAAGCCATGGGAACCTCGGCCTTCTCTAAGATCACCTGTTTTCCTAGGGTTTTCTCCTGAGCAGTCTCATGGGAGCAGGAAGACGGCAAAAAGGGCAACGCAGTGTCTGGTGTGGGGTCAGCCAGCTCAAGTTCTCTCTCAGTCCGGACCTTCTCTCTTCGTCTCTCCCCTCTCTTGGAGCACTACCCTGGCCACTGAACTGATCCGGCCACTTCTCCGATCTCTCCCCTACAACCCAGCCCGGTCCCCAACCTGCCTCGGTGTTCCACACTGTGATCTGATGATCCTAGCACACTCCCCTACCTGTCCCCCAGTAAACTTTCTAGCCTCAGCCTTATCAAGGCCCAAGAGGCTTTACCCAACTTTAACCCTGTCCACCGCTGGAAAGAGCCGTTCCTTACTGTGCAGACATTTATTTGTGTCTTCAATGAATGCTTCTTGGGGCCTACTCTGACTGGGTATGTGCTGGTACCTGCTGGGACTCCCACTTCTCACACCCTAGCCACCCCGAATATGCTGTCTTTCAGCATCTGGGACTGACACTTGCTGTTTTCTCAAGCTTCAGAGGCTCCTCCTTAAGACATTCCTGGGTCTTCCTTTCCAATATCACTCCCTCCTCTGAGCTCCCTGGCCCTTTAAAAATATTCATTAAAATGATCCGTGTTCATTAAAATGATCTATGTATTGTGTTAATCCGTGTTTTGAAACAATAACTCCCTTGATTCCATTTCAGTAAAGTCTGTACGCCACCACTACCCAATTAATTAATCATCGTGGTTCTGTGTGTGCAACAGGCACAGAAGTTGGTGTACTGAGTGGCGTTGGCAGACTTGCTTCATTCTCTTATCTTATGGAGGAAGGTTTTCTGTTTGGATGTCTGTTTCCTGTGAGGCCTTACCCTCCTCATGTCTGGCTTGTGGAGTGAATAAAAAACTCTCAGGATTGTTACCAGCACAAAATGAGGGGCTGTAGAAGAGGAAGGGGACTGTGAGAAAGGCGTAAAAGGGACCCTGTCTTGGCTTCAGTGCCTCTCTCTGCACTAGCTGGCGAAAGTGATCTTCCTACCAACTTCCTACTAGAAAGTTACAGGTTGCTCCCTAGTAACTTTCTAGATGGTTCTTTTCCACTGACCCCATTAAGGGTGAGGCAGTGAAGTCTGGAAAGGCCCCACTGTGCCACTGCTGACCACGGGATTTGACCAGTTCATCTCTTAACCTCAGGCTCTCCATTTCTTTTGCTATAGGGCGCGTGTGCTCACCAGAAAGATAGAGAGAGACAGAGAGACAGAAAGCGAGAAATCACCCCCCAGGGGGGATGGCCACGCCACAGTCCTTTCTCCTCCATTCTCCTCTCGAGATCTTGGGCACACACACACACAAGCGATCGGCATGAGTTTAAGCCACCAGATCCGGGACCTGAACTGCAGTCGACTACATGGGAGTCCAGCAACATAGCCATTGCGCCAACTGATGGTCCCAAGGCTCTCCATTTCTAAGTTAGCTAAACAATATGGGTCCTGCTCTCCCCACAGGGTGGTGGGAGAGCCTAATGAGTAGACCCTACCCCTCCGGGATCTGTAAATGCCACTAAAATATAAGAGCCCCTAATTCCAGATTCCTGAGCCTTCGACACCTCACCTCCCTCGTACTCTCCATTTTCCCCAGCCTTTGGGAAAGGGGCTCTGGCCCAGCTCCTTCACCCCCATGGGACGTTGATCCTAAGTAGTTCCATCCAGCTGGGTTTGGGGGCTTCCTGCCCCTCTGCCTAGAAAAACCTCTCCCTGTCTTTTATTATCATTATTATTACTATTTTGCTATAGGGCACCTGCATTCAAAGAGAAAGTTGGAAAGCACTCCCTGGGGGGATGGCCACGTACAATCCTTTCTCCATTCTGTTTTGGGCACACAAGCAAATGCAGCCTGCCTATTTTTTGTTTGTTTGTTTGTTTTTTGAGAGGTTTTCTTCCACACAGAGAGAGACAGAGAGACAGAAAGCGAGAAATCACCCCCCAGGGGGTATGGTCACACCGCAATCCCTTCTCCTCCATTCCCCACTCGGGATCTTGGGCACGCACGCACACGCACCCGGCGTGAGTTTTAAGTCACCAGGTCCGGGACGCGAACCGCGGTCGACTACGTGGGAGTCCAGCAACATAGCCATTACACTAACTGCTGGTTCCCTGCAACCTGCCTGTTTTCAAGCCGCTGGGTCTGGGACTCCAACCGCGTAGTCAGCCAGGCAGGATCCAGCTGCCTTACCCACCACACCATCTGGCTGGTCCCCGGTCCCGTCTTTATTTCCTGGAGTCTGTACACCACCACTGCCCAATTAATTAATCATTGGAGTTCTGTATTGCTTTCACGTCTCCCAACTAGGTTGAGCTCCCTGAGTCCAGGGCAAGTACCAGGTCCTATGCATAGTCACATCCCTGCCCCACCCACAGTGTCCTTTCC